GTATAAATTCTTTAAAAAAATCCAAGGTAATTTAAAAACAATTAAAATTATTAATTATGACCTTGAAGAAGTCTCCAACAAATACGGATCCATGTCTTTCAAGTTTATGTTCTTAATTTTTTTCCAAATTCACGATTATGGCTTTACATTTTTTGCCTAGGTTGTAGTACCCATTAAGATCTTCTAATACGAAATTTGAAACTATTCCGGTGATTAATGTTGCTGAAAACGTCAAAATAATATTGGGGGCTATACGAAGACATGGACCTGCATACAACAATTTTTGTCATAGGCTGTAGTACTCATTAGGAACTTCAAATACGAAATTTGAAACGATTCTGGGAGATACCGTTATATGGGGCCTATACGAAGACGTGGACTTCTAGATTGTCTTAGAAATAGTGTAGGGTCTATAATGAATATTTCGATGAGTTACTAACGTTATGACAAAGTAAGTATACCCTTCATGTAATGGCGGAGGGCATAAAAATTTCCCTAAAATCCAAGATTACAACCTTGGAAAATGTTTTTCAAAAATGTATGATTATTTCCTTAAAAACTCTTTATAAAATCCACTATTATGGCTTCAATGACCCTTGAAATTTTCTTTCAAAAATTCACGAGTGTGGCCTGGATATTTCAATAAAATATCAAGAAATATTAAAAAACGAAAATGGCTCTAATAGATTTGCGAAAAAAAATCGTAAATAAGTCAATCATAATTTTTAACCATCTTTGAAATCTTTAAAAAATCCACTATTAAGTCTCCAAGGGCCATTAAAAAACTAACTAACTAAAATAACTGTATGTGTCATTAATGGTTCCTGAGTAAATTAAAAAGGCGCAATTTTAGACTTGATAAATCTTCAAAAAATATATTTTAAAAATCCAGGATCATGACATTTCAAAAATCGATTATTATAAGCTGATGACCCTTGAAAAAATTAATTAAGAAAAAGACGAACAGTGCCCTTCAAAAAAAAAAAAAAAATAAATAAATAATAATAATAATAATAATAAATAAATAAATAAATAAAAAATAAAAAAATAATTAAAAATCGAAAAAAACATTACCCTTACACAATTCTCGACGATATTGGCCATGATTTTGACCTTAATAAAATACAACGCTACTTTGACCTGATGGCTCATGAAAAAAATAATTTAATTTAACCTAAATTTAATTTGACATTTAATGCCTTGATGACCCTTAAAAAATTCTTAAAAATCTTAAATTACAGCCTGAATATCCCTTAATGCCTTGGTGATCTAATTAATTCTGTAAAAATGCATGATTATGGTATTAATGCACTTTAAATTTTTGAAGTCACGGTTATGGCCTGATCGCCATTAATACATATGGTCTTGGTGACCTTTGACCTCGATTAAGGCTTCAAAGGAGCTCAAAAAATTGTTTACTGAAATCCGCGAATATGGCATGTATGTATGTATAAGATATAAAAGTTCTTAAAAACTTACGGCTATTACCTTGAGGCTCTTGAAATTTTTCTTTAAAAAATGTCTATGAGAAAATTAATAGGAATAGGATCAAAGTTTCGTCTCTTGCTTATAGCATATCGCCAAAGCAGTTTCAAGTCTATTTCTAGATTTTAAATTTCTATAGACAAAATAGAGTCTAATTAAATATTTGACATTGTTAAAAATTCTTAAAGAAATTCGTTTTGTTTTCAAAATTTCCCAACTAATATTCAATTCACGCACAGGTCACATCAATTGTTTTTCCAAAAACAACAAACCACCGCCACAACTAAGTTCAAAAGCTAAGATTGAATGAGTACAACCCATAAGTTGTCATAGGTAGTTGGTGGCGGGGTTAACGAACCACGTAGTTATCAAAATGTCTCCTCAACAAAAAAGAAACATTGATTTTGCCTTACTTGGTATGACTTGTTGAGCAGATTAGAAGCAGAAACAAAAAAAAACAAAATCCAATAAAAACTGAGTATGTCTTTTTTAGGTCACTTCAGAACAAAAGAGAGATGAGCCGCTTATAGAGTGATAAAACTTGCCAACCGCTTTGAACAATGGAAACAACAAACAAAAAATAAACTAATGACGTCAAAATTTGTAATGATTTCATTGAGGCATTTGTGAGTGTGTGTATGTGTCTGCTGGTCTAGCTTTTTTTATGTGCGTTTGAGTGATTTATGTTAAATTTGTTATAAATTCTGTTCTCTATATTTCTTTACATTGTGTTCCAATTAATCACTATAGTCATTCAGAGCAGTGCATACATACATACGTAGATAGATATGTGTATGTAGCTGAGTCGATGATGTGTGGTTAAATTACGTGTGCATGTATTCTCTGTTGAGATACAACATTTCCCATCTTTGTATTCGAATGTCAAATAATTCAATTGAACTCTACACTTTGGGATGAGAACATATCAAAATAATTATTGTTAATGGCCAGCATTAGGGGTATTCAAGTAGAGTAGAAATGTAAAACGAATGAATTTAAAACTCAGGGTATCGAAATTTGTTGTGAAAATTATTATTCTCATTGTGATCACAAAAAAATGTTGTATATCTGCATGCGTTTTCACATGTTTTTATGTTTTTATGCCTTTGTACATTTGTTTGTAATATGGAGAAGGAGCTAAATAAACCCATAGTTACTTTTGACGATCTTCTTAGAAACACTTTCTGAGTCGACGGACGGGCTTACATGCATAGTCAGTCCGTTCGTCCGTCCATGTATTCTTGTGAACATAAATGCAGATCGCATTTATTATCCAATTTAGGTGAAATTTTGCAAACAATATTTGTTTGGCCCAAGTACGAACCCTATTGAAATTTGTGATAATCGGATCAGATTTAGATATAGCTCCCATATATCTCCAACCGATTTCGGGTTAATTGTGCACCAAATGGCTAATATAAGTCCAAATGGCCTGTATTTTGGTACATCCCATCGATTTCAGACTAGAAGCAAGTACATTAAAGTTTAAGTCCCTCACATTCGTAATATCGATTCGACAACAAAGATTTTTGGTTCCAGATATCTTATATATATTATCCTTCTCTTCTTCTTCTTCTCAAACTGTAATTGTTCTAAAGCCAAATGTTGATACCACCTATCAACAACGGTCTACTTGAATTAAATTATTTTGTTACGGGAGCTCTACTAAATATGCATAGTGGTGTTATATAGTCAGCCCCGCCCGACTTTTGACTTTTCCTTACTGGTTTTAAGTAGCAGTTATAGGACGATCTATATCTTGAAGGTTTCTTTTATTCTTGACCAAAGTGACAGATGTCTTTTAGGGTATAACAGGCGGTGCTGTCTTTGCATACTTGTTTTTAATTTCGAATTCTCAATCCATTTTCTACCGATTATACTGTAAATTGATATTTTAACATTTATTTATTAACAAATTCAACAAAATCATATTGCTTATTTGCTGAAAGGGTGGCAATTTCTTATTTCATCTTTCTATCCAATTTCTAGCCCCCATATAACAGTACCTCCCGATACTCGGTATTTTAATGTTTAAGGGACATTATTCACCCGAATTGTAACAAATTTCTTATTGGAAGATCTGAATGGCTACTAGAACCTATACCAAAAAATTTCGTATGCAGGTCCACATTTTCGTCTAGCCCCCATATGACGGTACCTCTAGATAGTCGGTATTTTGATGATTTTAGCGACAATATTTAGGAGAATTATTTCAAATTTCGTATTTGAAGTTCGTAATGGGTTCTAAAACCTATGGCAAAAAATTTCGTATGCAGATCCACGTCTTCGTATAGCCCTCATATTACGGTACCTCCCGATATTCGGTATTTTCATGATTTTAGCGACATTATTCACCGGAATTGTTTCAAATTGGATATTTGAAGTTCATAATAGGTACTACAGCCCACGGCAAAAAATTTCGCAAGCAGGGCCACCATATAACGGTACCTCCCGATACTCGGTATTTTCTTGATTTTTGCGATATTTATAACAGGAATTGTAACCAATTTCATATTGGAAGATCTGAATGAGTACTACACCCTATGGCAAACAATTTCGTATATAGGTACGTCTTCGTATAACCTTCATATAACGGTACCTCCCGATAGGCGGTATTTTGATGATTTCAGCAACATTATTCACCGGAATTGTAACAAATTTCGTATTGGAAAATCGAAATGGCAAAAAATGTCGTATGCAAGTCCACGTCTTCGTATATCCCCCATATGACGGTACCTCCCGATACTCTGTATTTTCAAGATTTCAGCGACATTATTCACCTGAGTTGTAATAAATTTCGTATTGGAAGATTTTAATGGGTACTACAGCCTATGACAAAATTTTTTGTATGCAGTAGGTCACGTGTTGGTATAGTCCCCATATAACGGATTTCAATTAAGTGGTAATTTTTGTTTTTTTTTTCTTTTTTTTAATTTTTGAAGTTTCTCCCACATGGTGGAGAGTATTAAAAGTTCGGGTCCCCCGATATTAGCTGCTTACATAAATCAACAGAACAGTAAATTAAATTTATGAAACACTCAACTATTTCAATCTTTGTTTGATTTTGCACAGAAACGCAGTGCATGAGTTTTACTTTTTTTGTAATACACTATTTAATTCGGGAATTCAAATTTGAAATGATAAATTAATTTTTTTTGTAACTGTTTCTTTAGATGTCACTCTTTTAGTAAATGTGCGAAATGGTAATCTATTATTCTACTTTTCATTTTTTTTGTTATAAATTAATTTATTATTTATTTATTACTTTTATTTATTTATTACTTGAAGTGAATCCCCTTATTATCTCATTGTTGTTTTTTTTTTTTTTTTTTCAAAAATTGTTTATGTCATAGCTGCTCTGTGTGAGTGTTTGTGCTGTGTCTCAGCTATAGAATGGAGAGTTTGTCTGTCTGACACTTGCTTTGTATGTGGTCTCGTATGTATGTGAATTTACCCCCACATTATGATAAATAAATTGAAATAAAGAAAAAAAGAAAAAAAAAAGAACACACAACTTGTATATACAATTTATAGAAATAGGTATATATATTATACACTTAAATTTATTACATACATAAATACATAATTTCAGATAGACCTTCATATGATCCAAAATACACTTCAAAATAAAAACAAAAATTATAAAAATAAAAAAAAAAATACATCAACAAAACAATTGCTCATTTCTGCAGATGAGTTTAGCTCGGTTTCGTTTTTTGTTTTTTAGTTTTAAATAGAAAAAATATATATTAAGTTAAATTACTTGGTTTTTTTAGATAGTATTATTTTAATATAAAAAAAATTATTAATTAATAATAACAGCAGTATTTGTTTGTTTTGTTTTTGTCACATTTAATTGTTATTGTCGGCAATGTTTTTTTATTACATTATACAATAATAGGTATTTGTTTAAAACTTATAAATTAGAAAAAAATAATAATTGCATTTTCTTTCTTCTTGTGTTGAGGCCTCCCCCAACCCATTTTGGGGGTGAGAGATTTTCCCGCTGGTTTTGCTTTGTTATTCTATCCAGAGGAAGTTCTGAACTTCCTTTGTTCTTGACTACAGATAGTTTTGGAAGAGATTTTCTTGTTTTCATTTCCATTCATTTTATGAACTTGATTCCATAGTGTTGTTGTTGTTGTTGATTATTGTCGTTTGCACTTCGTCATATCGTTCTAGAATACAATTTCTTCATTTTCTTCCTTCTGCTCTTCGTTCGTTAGGTTAATAAATTAATTTAGAAATTCTTCTCGTTTTTTGGCGTCCCCTTGCCCTTCTCTGTCTCCTCCGGCATTAGTTTTAAAGAATTGCACATCTGCGCTTTTTGGGGGCCCTCATCACTGGACACAGTACCGAACGTATGGCTTCATCGAATACTGTTTTGAGACCCTTTTGGGTCAGGGCTGAACATTCCAAATATTTGACAGCACCAATTTCTTTGGCCATGGCCAAACCTTGAGGATAGGTGATGGGTGTTAGTTTTTTATCCTTCAACTTTTCAATGGTGGCCTTATCGTCACGCAAATCGAGCTTGGTGCCCACCAAAATTATGGGTACATTGGGGCAGTGGTGACGCACCTCAGGATACCACTTGGCACGTACATTTTCAAATGAGGCCGGGTTTACTAGGGAGAAACAAATGAGGAACACATCTGTCTGGGGATAGGAGAGGGGACGCAGACGATCATAATCTTCCTGGCCAGCTGTATCCCAGAGACCCAAATTAATGGGCTTGGCATCGACCATCACATTGGCCGAGTAGTTGTCGAACACGGTGGGTATGTATTCGCCGGGGAAGGCATTGGTAGTGTAGCTGATCAAGAGGCAAGTTTTACCCACAGCACCATCGCCAACTACGACACACTTGATTGCCTGCATGTTGTTGTTGTTCTTGGTAGTTTTTTTGCTTTCAATCCAGTCGTTTCTATTTCAGTTCTTGCCAATTATCCAGTTTGGTGATAGGCAAAAACAAGTTGTGGAACGGCTTGTTTTGGTTTTTTGGATTAAAAATATTTTTGATTACACAATCGCCTTTGTTGTTTTTGTTGTAGATATCACAAAATTGTTTAATAAATATTATTGCTTCCAGTTTTTTGTTTTTATTATTTTTCTTGTTTTTGCAATTCTTTTTTTGTATTCCAGTTTAATTAATGCAAATTTAATTTTGTGTTTTTTTATAGTTTTGCTATTTTGTTTCTTTCTTTGTTTTCTTTTTTTATGCGTCTCTTTTTTTGTGTTTATCAGTTACTGTTGCATTATTCACTTGGCGTTATATCCGTCAGATACTTAAACGAAGGCAAAAAAAAATCCGAGAAAAAACAATGCCGCAAAACTCTGCAGCTATCCAACACACCCAATCAATTTGAAATCACTGCATCAACTAAGGCCCCCACACAGTCATCGGCGCCAGCCACAGCACCGCAAACTCATGGATAAATGCCCACACCACAGAATGTATCTCATAGATACTTTCGCCTACCACACACTAGTAGATCTTGTTACTCAATTTAAACATCATCACGTTCTTACTCTTTCACTCCCACAACAATGATATGCATTGTTTACATTTTACGCAGTATATCCCTCTCTTTCACACAGTGATCTTTTCGTGGCATAAAATTGTTTTCTTTCTCAACTCTCGTTTTATGCTCTTTAACTAGTCTCTCTCTCTCTCACTCTCTTTGCAATTAATCGCCATGGTCGCCTGGCAGTATTAGTTTTTTAACTACATGACTCATAATTTCTTTTCATGCTGCTTCTTTTCATTTGCGCTTTATTTATTGATGACGATTGTTTGACGTTGCCTGACTTTTTTCCTCAATTAACGAGAACACTTGTACTCTCTCTCGCCCATCCACCCCCACCCCTCTACTTTTCCCTGCTCTTTCACTTTCGGTCGGTATATGACTCTCTGTGTGGTGACCTTGTTTGTGTGTGTTCGTCGACTTTCCCACTTATGGAAAACATCTGCCAGCCGACTCGCTCGCCTGCCAAGTTAATTGTTTATCTGTTTCTGTTCAAGACCACATAGCATTAGCTAAATTTTATAGCATGCGAGAAATTTGTTCAATGTAGGCTGTGTTGGCGCTGGTCGGTGTTCTAATTCCATTGAAAAAACAAACAATACAGTGGGAGGTAATAAAATAGCATGAAAGAGTTAGGTACTTTCCGGTGAAATACGCTGTTCGATACAACGAATTGCACTCAAGCATTGAAACAAATTTATTAAAAGGGGCACAACCAATAAAACCACGGGTGGTAGGTGTAATAAAAACCCTAAACACAACATTTAAAATTCTTGTCAAGGACAATGGGATGAAAGATTAATTGTTAGGTCGATAAGTGGGAAATTTGTAAATTCTTGAAATGTATGTATTAAAGAGTAGCATAACTCAAAAAATTCGGCGTTTTTTTACCCTCCACCATAGTATGGAGGATATATTAAGTTTGTCATTCCATTTGTAACACGTCGAAATATACATTTTAGACCCCACAAAGTCTTGATAAGCATAAAATTTTATGTCGATTTAGCGATGTCCGTCCGTCTGTAACTTTATCCGCCTGTGGAAATCACTCCAGCTTCCGAACGAAATGAAGTAGGTTGATAAAATTACTCAAAAATTTACTCAAATGTATATTATGTCTGCAGGACTAATGGTATTGCAACGGACCATGTAGGTCCACGTTTTGGTACAGCCCCCATATAACGGTACCTCCCGATATTCGGTATTTTGATTATTATTTATTTAACGACAATATTCATCGGAATTGTTTCAAATTTGGTATTTGAAGTTCCAAATAGATACTACTGCCTATCACAGAAAACTGACTGTGCAGGTCTACGTCTTCGTATAGCCCCCGGTACCTCCCTATATTCGGTATTTTAATGATTTTAAAGACATTATTCACCGGAATTATTTCAAATTTGGTGTTTGAAGTTCGTAATGAATACTACAGCTTAAGACAAAAAATTGTCTGTGCAGGTCCACGTATTCGTATACCCCCATATAACTGTACCCCGATATTCAGTTTTTTTTATGATTTTAGCGACATAATTCACCTGAATTGTTTCATATTTTATATTTGAAATTCGTAATGGGTACTACAGCCTATGACAGAAAATTGTCTGTGCAGGTCGACGTCTTCGTATAGCCCTCATATAACGGTACATCCCGATATTCGGTATTTTAATTATTTTAGCGACGTTATTCACCGGAATTGTTTCAAATTTGGTGTTTGAAGTTCGTAATGAATGCTACAGTCTATGACAGAAAATTGTCTGTGCAGGTCGACGTCTTCGTTTAGCTCCCATACTCTCGGTATTTTAATGATTGTAGCTACATTATTCATCGGAATTGTTTCAAATTTGGTGTTTGAAGTTCGTAATAAATACTACGGCCTAAGACAGAAAATTGTCTGTGCAGGTCCACGTCTTCGTATAGCTCCCATATAACGGTATTTTGATGATCTTAACTACATTATTGACCTATTTTTTTAAGTTTCACCTTTGAACATTGTAATGGCTTATGACAAAAGTTACCTATGCAGGTCCACGTCGTCGTAAAGACCCTAATATAACAGTTGCATTCCGTATTTTTAAGCTTTTAACAGAATTTTTAACGGACTTTATTGTTTTGAGAATTGGCAAATTCGTTTAAAATGGAGGAGGTTATTCAAAGTTTGGCACCGCCGAACTTGCAGTTTTTTTACTGGTGGGCATTTTCATAACAATCTCCATATCTCAACTTCAATATAAAATTTCGGAATTGCAGCTCTCTAATTTCCTCCATTGTCAAATTAAATACAAACTTTAGTACTCATATCCAAAACCACCTATTCTTTCCAACCACAGACACCAACTGTGATATCCGCATTGAATTTCATTTCCACCTCCATATCTCAATTCTAGATATCAAAAAAAAAACTCAATATAAAAATTGAGGATTCCAGGCCAATGTTTTCACCCAATATCTAATTTAGTACCATTCATTTCTTTTGTACAAATATAGTACACATTTTCAAAAACCACCTCCTTCTCTCAACCACAGATACCAACAGTGAAATCCTTATCGAATTTCAGGATGTCATTCTCTATCCATCAACCCAATACCAAATTTAGTGCCATTTAGCACTTTTCGTACAAATATAGGAGGCATTTTCAAACCGCCTCCATTTCTCAATTTCAGATACCAACAGGGACCTCAACATACAATTTGTGGATTCCAGGCCAACCCTTTCACTTAATATCTAATTTTGTACTATTCGTACAAATATAGTACACATTACCAAAACCACCTTCATATCTTAACCACAGATACCAACACCATTTCAGTTCTATTCATTCGCCAATACCAAATTTAGTACTTTTCGTACAATTATAGTACATATTTCCAAAATCACCTCCATATCTCAACCTCAGATATCAACAAAGTTCTCAATATCAAATTTGAGGATTCTAGCCCGATTCCTTCACCCAATACCAATTTAAGTATCATTAAGTACTTTTCGTACATAGATAGGACGCATTTCAAAAATCCAGTTCCACATCTTAACCAAAGACACCAACAGTGTCACCTATATCAAATTTCAGGATTTCAGCCCCATACATTCACCCAATACCAAATTTACTACTATTTTGTACATTTCGTTCAATTATATTACATATTTTCAAAACTACCTCCACATTTTCACGTTTTCGAAACTGCCTTCACGTGAACAGCGACCCTGATTTCAAATTTTAGATTTCAAACCATTTTTATTCACCCAATAACAAAATATAGTAGGATTTAGTACCACTCGTAGACTTGTAGAACACATTTCCAAAACCACCACTGGGAACCCAATACAATATTGAAAGATTCCAGGTTCATCCCTCCACCCTTAACGAAACTGTTCCAAATTAATTAATTTGGTTCAGAGCGAATACATAGACAAAAACCACCTCTATATCTTAATTCCAGATACCAATAGAGACCTCGATATTAAATTTGAGGATTAAAGCCCAATCTTTACACCCAACACCGAATCAAGTACCATTTAGCCTGATATTTGTAACGGGTAGCAGAACATTGTATAGGTCCACGTTTTTTATAGCCCCCGAATAATTTTACCTCCTAAAATTCTGTATTTTGACGATTTAAGCCTCAGTTTTTAATTGTTTCGAATTCGTTTCATAGAGTTCTAAATGATTTCTATTTCTTGTTGCTGCACGTTGTCCTGCGTGTTTTTTTTCAAATGAAAGACGTTCCAGACTTCCCCGCCACCCCGCACTTAGATATCTTCCAAGCGTTTAAAATAGAGCACTCAAAATTTACACCAATTCAAACGAAAGAATTAAATGCTATTTATTTTCACATTATGGTCTGCGGTAGACCACACGTTGCTCATTGCTGCTTGTTTCCGTTTGTGGTCAATTTTTGCGTAAATGTTTGTGGCTGATTTTATATTTAATAGCCTTTAATGATAATGATCATCATCACTAGCAGCGGCAGCATCATCATCACCATCACAGCTATTATTGGTCTGGTTTTGTTGTTGGTTATTTTTAGCAACGATGCGTAGACGAGTAAAATATTTATAAAATTTTCACCCACCCCCAACACACACAATCTAACAATTCTGCAATTGAAAATTGTCGGTGAGTATGATTAGTAATACGAAAAGGCATGTTAGACTGGAGAGCATTTGTTTGGAGGTAGGAATGGCAATTTATATATTTATCTGTTAAATATTTCTAAGAATCAAATTTGAAAAATCGAAATTAATATGTATTTTCTTTATTTTTTTCCAGGTATGATTGTATTTATTTTATTGGTAAGAAAATTCATTTTTCTTGATATTTTAATAAAATATTTGTAATAAATGATTTCCTTTGAAATTTAATCAGTTTATTTGAACTAATTTCGAAACTTTGGAAAGTGTAGTCGGTGGTCAAACGGTATTGAATATCCTCCTTTTACCGAGAATGAAATGCACAGTGCAACACCAAAAATAATTACAAGAAAAATCAAGAAGTTTATAGAAGTAGAAGTCAAAATATACTACACTTGTATCGACGTTTTGAAAGATTACATCGAAAGTAACCTAAGTAAAGGGGGAAAGTCTTTACCCTTTGACATTTTTTGAAATTTTTAGATTAAGATTCCTTGAAAGATAGCATTTTAAGCATATACAGGGAGTGATAAAAAAAAAACCGCAAGAAAGTCAAACGCCATAATTTTTACATTTTTTTAATTTTATTGAATGGAAGCAAAAAATGTCGGAAAAAGCATTGAATTTAAGAATATGTTTGGATTTGTTTGAATTGGTCACCTTTGGCACGAATTATGGCCTTCAAACGGCCATTAAAACCGTCACACGCTGCCCGAATGTTGCTCTGCAGTATTTTGGCCAT